TTGGACTGAACTGTCAAGTTATAATCACAAGAGATTGGACTGAACTGTCACATTAAAATTACAAGAGATTGGACTGAACTGTCTAGTTATAATCGCAAGAGATTGGACGGAACTGTCACATTAAAATTACAAGAGATTGGACGGAACTGTCACATTAAAATTACAAGAGATTGGACTGAACTGTCAAGTTATGATCACAAGAGATTGGACTGAACTGTCAAGTTATAATCACAAGAGATTGGACTGAACTGTCTAGTTATAATCACAAGAGATTGGACTGAACTGTCAAGTTATAATCACAAAAGATTGGACTGAACTGTCAAGTTATAATCACAAAAGATTGGACTGAACTGTCTAGTTATGATCACAAGAGATTGGACTGAACTGTCTAGTTATAATCACAAGAGATTGGACTGAACTGTCAAGTTATAATCACAAGAGATTGGACTGAACTGTCTAGTTATAATCACAAGAGATTGGACTGAACTGTCTAGTTATAATCACAAGAGATTGGACTGAACTGTTGTGTTATAATCAAAAGAGATTGGACTGAACTGTTGTATTATAATCGCAAGAGATTGGACTGAACTGTCACATTAAAATTACAAGAGATTGGACTGAACTGTCAAGTTATGATCACAAGAGATTGGACTGAACTGTCTAGTTATAATCACAAGAGATTGGACTGAACTGTCTAGTTATAATCACAAGAGATTGGACTGAACTGTTGTATTATAATCACAAGAGATTGGACTCAACTGTCGTATTAAAATCGCAAGAGATTGGACTGAACTGTCACATTAAAATTACAAGAGATTGGACTGAACTGTCAAGTTATGATCACAAGAGATTGGACTGAAGTGTCTAGTTATAATCACAAGAGATTGGACTGAACTGTCAAGTTATAATCACAAGAGATTGGAGTGAACTGTCTAGTTATAATCACAAGAGATTGGACTGAACTGTCAAGTTATAATCACAAGAGATTGGACTGAACTGCTGTATTATAATCACAAGAGATTGGACTGAACTGTTATAATCACACACGATGTTATTCATCAATCACAGAGCCAGTCACTTATGAGTTATGGAAATTACCTAATAACATTGAACATTTGAAGATTTGAAGATTATGACATGTTTGATGATGAAAGGCTAAATGAATATCTAATTTGATTTTCATCACTACATCCTAAACAAGAGCTGTGATGATTGTGCACTTTGTCTCGATATGTGGCATCATCGTTAGCATGGCACCAGGCAGGCTGCAACAAGCACCGACCAGCAGCGTATCATCCTGGAGATACAGTCATATATCACCAGCTGGGCTGCGCCGATCAAAGACCAGAGTTCAGTCACTGTGAATTATGAATTGTTCTATCCAAGATGAAAGCAACAGGATGAGGAAATGCGTGCCCATTATTCACACTCCTACTTCCCCAAATTTAGACATTTTTTATCTGAGATGAAATGTCTACAATCTCATACCATATTCAATGTATTAAATATCCTGCTCCCAAAAACAACACATTCATCTCGGGTTTAGTACAAATTTACTACCCGGGTACCCATCCCCTACGACTTGACCTGACTCAGTGTGCCTGTCTGGGCCTGCTCCTGACCCCAGCTCTACCGCAGGGAACAGCCAGCCTGCGGGGTAAGGGAGTCTTATCAGCTGATACACTCAATAGGGTGTGTCATGTCTTATCAGCTGATACACTCAATAGGGTGTGTCGTGTCTTATCAGCATGATACACTCAATAGGGTGTGTCATGTCTTATCTGCTGATAGACTCAATAGGGTGTGTCATGTCTTATCAGCATGATACACTCAATAGGGTGTGTCATGTCTTATCAGTGTGATACACTCAATAGGGTGTGTCATGTCTTATCAGCTGATACACTCAATAGGGTGTGTCATGTCTTATTAGCTGATACACTCAATAGGGTGTGTCATGTCTTATCAGCTGATACACTCAATAGGGTGTGTCATGTCTTATCAGCTGATACTCAGTAGGGTGTGTCATGTCTTCCACGTCTTCCTGAGGCAAGGGACTTAACTGACTATAGAAGTCCAGTTCCACCCTTGGCAAACTAGGTTGGAATTATGGAGTTATATTTTGGCTGGACTAACAAATCTATGCATAGTCTGATCAAAATCACATAACAAAATGGACATCAGGTTTGTAAACTGCCATGCAGATTTCAGTCGACTGCAGGATTTGCAAAGCATGTGTACCGCCAACTCGGCGTCAAAAAATATTTAAAAAATATTTTCATGTTTTTAATCAAGGTGCTCACATGATGCACTTTGCAAAGTGAGACCTGTTTATCACAATAATGATCTTGATCATCGATCAGATTGTCTTCACTGGGTGCTGCCATTTTGTTTGAAGTGAGGTGGAATCTGATTGGTCAATAGGAGGGACATAGAAGTGACATAACTTGTGATAGCCACGGGTGACACTACGATTAAGCCCAGAAATCCGAGCCTATATTTCGGCAAAGGTGGAAACTGGACTTTTACAGTCAGTTACCTCCCTTGCCTCAGGAAGATGTGTGATACACTAAATGTCACATCTTATCAGCATGATACACTAAATGTCATGTCTTAGCGTGATACACTAAATGTCATGTCTTAGCGTGATACACTAAATGTCATGTCTTAGCGTGATACACTAAATGTCATGTCTTAGAATGATACACTAAATGTCATGTCTTAGCATGATACACTAAATGTCATGTCTTAGCGTGATATACTAAATGTCACATCTTATCAGCGTGATACACTAAATGTCATGTCTTAGCGTGATACACTAAATGTCATGTCTTAGCGTGATACACTAAATGTCATGTCTTAGCGTGATACACTAAATGTCATGTCTTATCAGCATGATACACTAAATGTCATGTCTTAGCATGATACACTAAATGTCATGTCTTAGCATGATACACTAAATGTCACATCTTATCAGCGTGATACACTAGATGTTATGTCATTTCCAGAATGATGTGGCTCTGAAACAGTCATGTGGGGGCCAGGCGGGTATCTCCACGGGGACGTGCTACTGAAACAGTCATGTGGTGGCCAGGCGGGTATCTCCACAGAGATGTGCTACTGAAACAGTCATGTGGGGGCCAGGCGGGTATCTCCACAGAGATGTGCTACTGAAACAGTCATGTGGGGGCCAGGCAATTATCTCCACAGAGACCTGGTACTGAATCAGTCATGTGGGGGCCAGGCGGGTATCTCCACAGAGATGTGCTACTGAAACAGTCATGTGGGGGCCAGGCGGGTATCTCCACGGGGACGTGCTACTGAAACAGTCATGTGGGGGCCAGGCGGGTATCTCCACAGAGATGTGCTACTGAAACAGTCATGTGGGGGCCAGGCGGGTATCTCCACGGGGACGTGCTACTGAAACAGTCATGTGGGGGCCAGGCGGGTATCTCCACGGGGACATGGTACTGAAACATTCATGTGGGGGTGAGGCGGGTATCTCCACGGGGATGTGGTACTGAAACAGTCATGTGGGGGTGAGGCGGGTATCTCCATGGGAACATGGTACTGAAACAGTCATGTGGGGGCCAGGCGGGTATCTCCACGGGGACATGGTACTGAAACATTCATGTGGGGGTGAGGCGGGTATCTCCACGGGGACGTGGTACTGAAACAGTCATGTGGGGGTGAGGCGGGTATCTCCACGGGGACGTGGTACTGAAACAGTCATGTGGGGGTGAGGCGGGTATCTCCACAGGGACGTGGTACTGAAACAGTCATGTGGGGGCCAGGCGGGTATCTCCACGGGGACGTGCTACTGAAACAGTCATGTGGGGGTGAGGCGGGTATCTCCATGGAGACGTGGTACTGAAACATTCATGTGGGGGCCAGGCAGGTATCTCCACGGGGATGTGGTACTGAATCAGTCATTGGGAACATGGTACTGAAACAGTCATGTGGGGGCCAGGCGGGTATCTCCACGGGTACATGGTACTGAAACAGTCATGTTGGGGCCAGGAGTCTGAGTCTAAGAAAAGACCATATGAAAAACTGAGACATGAATGAGTTTGGTTTTATGCCGCTTTTAGCAATATTCCAGCAATATCACAGCGGGGGACACCAGAAATGGACTTAACACATTGTACACATGTTGGTGTGACGAGCGAACGTTTTAACCACTAGTGTACCCGACTGCCCCTACTGAGACATGATGCCACGGAACTGTTACACAGCACAGATGGACAAGAAACTTAACTGTTTCCATACTGAACAAAACATGAAGAACACCCTGCAATCTAGAAACTAAAAATATACCTGTCCAAGGTCCTGTTATCTGTCTCTCTTGTTTGAAAATAACATTAATTCGAAAAGCGATCAGCATTCAGCAGGAGCGTTAATCCGCGCCTCGGGGCTATTACAGGAACTGATGAAACCCAGGGCTGATTACACCAGCTCGCTGACATCTATTGACATCCGTCCTTATCAGCTGGTAACCCTGATCAAATCAGTGCATGTTTACTGTGTCAATTATATATAATGCTGGAGCGAATGTCATCATTCTCTAATCGGTTCGGATGTGTTGAATCACCAGCACAGCTAGTGTTTATTGCCCAGTGACAGAGGTTCCCGTTTTGTCTAACACAATTGTGACAGCGCACGCTCGCAGGGTGTTTTCAGAGGGCTGATTGTCGCCAATACGGCACCGGTATGCGCATGGTAAACACGCTACGAGCGTCGGGACAAATGAGATATAAAACGCTATCAACAGCCTGCATCACCGGTAACCAAATGTTGTCCACACTTCGACACATCACGGACTAACACCAACATGGTGAACACTTTTCCGAACCCTATAGCTTTTACAAGAACAATATAACTTGACATTCGCCGGCTCGGCTCCTCGTGAAAGAAAGCCGATGCATTTGCCGACGAACAGCTACAATAGAGACTGATCTTATCTGAAGACTGGAATATAAGGCATGGTAAAAACTGACTCTCACCTCACGATTGGGGCGTCATGTCTCAGCCAGAGAACACTGTCATGTCAAGCCCCTGGGGGTAGAAAACTGCACCCACCGGCGTCTATATCCCTCGCTGTTGACAGTAGCGAGCAGTCTTGGCTCGGACTACTGTCTTACCTCTCGGAAGAATTCTGGACTTGCCACAAGCCATGTTCTAGCCAATCGATGAGTCTTGATTGTCGATGCGGAAGATCTCATTTTCTCTGTAGGGGTCAAATATTGATGTCTCAATGGCAGTTGAGATGGAATGGTTAACGGTCTCAAGGGACGTGGTTCGTTCCGGTCGTTTGTCGCTAAAGAGGGGTTCAAAGAACAATTTTCGGAAGCTAAAGCTTTCAAAGAATTCTGTTTACATAACTGTTAGAGATGGGTGAAACAATCGATAGAAATCATTTAAGCCGCTGTCCAACGTCAAACTAGCCACACTAGAAGTCTCAAGGCAGACGCGACTATGGCCGGCCCATATCAAATGCAGGAATGGTCGATAGTCTTAGGCAGATAAAGTCGAAATCGAGAAGAAGATAGGCTCCATTTTTTGGTCATTTACGATCCCAACACAAATCGCAATACAAATTTATCAAACGGACAAGATGAACTTTCTTGCGATTGGTTGCCATGGCTGTACTCGCCAGCGCAGGTTTTATCAGATCGCCTGTCATTACCGTTTACAGATCCCATATTTAGAGGACATCCTATCCTTTCGCAATTTGTTTTATTTGGCCAATAAGACATGAATATTCTTTCCCCTCAGAATTCTGGAGACATTATTTTGCTAAGACGAGATACTGGTCTTGCTAATGGACATTTCTTGATTCTGTTGTAAGATGCGCATATACATATCCTCCTCTCAAGTAAATTTCAACATTTTTTGGAAATGCACTTAAAAGCTACGATCGTATATCATGTAGAGAGATTAAATCTGTGAGGTATTATTTCACGGATGATCAACGGAAAATACCCACGCAAAAACCTGCGTGCCCAACGATTTGAATGTATGGTATTTCACAGATAAAGCTTGATTGTTGCAATGCTATTGTCTTCCCTTGCGGGCTTTTAAGTTCAAGAGTATTCAGAACCCTTTCACCCTTAAAATGTGATAAACTGCTGATATTTGTCTCTTAGATTTAGGGCGATTATGAAAAATGCTGAATTGTTCGAGGATATCTAATATTTCAAATAAAACAGGGGCGCTCTAGAATATAATTCCTTTGTACTTCCCAGATAACCTAACTGCCATAATACTATCGTTATATTTCATGAAAATTTACAAACACGATAATTGGACACTCTTTACCCTTAATCTTTATGAAAAAGCGACGCCTATCGCAGTGGGACCGTTCCCTTTACTAAAAGCCAGTTGTTAGCCGTGGGAGTTTGACAGAAAACATGAGCATTGCGTGACCTGAGGACCCTATTACCAAGGGAGTCTCCGTCTAATCGATGTTCGCAAGAGTCGTGTGTAATTCAGGCTTTGGAGTCCAAAAACAATTATTGATGATGCATTAATTATTATCCGCCAGTGAGAGACGAGAAGAAATTAGCAGGAATGTGGGTACAATTACATTACAGTCCCTTTATCGACGATATATAGCAACTGTGTGGTGATAACATTACTCGTGTCTCCACCTCCGATGTTCTATTACCACACGGACAAGCAATATAGACTCTATACAACCCTAGTTGTAGGTATATATCATCCGTTTGGTTTACTCGTAAACGCATGCAACATTCAGACGACGATCTTTTCTGACCCGACTTCAGCTGTTTCATACTCGATTTTCGTATATGTGTTTTTCAAAACTATCGATATGAAAATACAAAAAGTAATGAGAAAACGTGTCTCATTAACAAAGTGAAGTGAAAGCAGCTCCGAGTTCGGAGTGTTTATAAGGACGATTCGCCCAAGAGTTACCTCCCTTCATATATCGATCTACCTTGCAGTTGTTTTTACCGATATTTGATCACAGACTGAGTGCGATGAAAAAAGACTTCATTTTTTATTTGTAAATTGCTTGGTGTTCAGTGACAGACAATCACATGGGATGTTATTGAGGCATCGCAACACTGAAACTTACTTATGGGGTGGACGGGAGTGAGCTGACTCAAACAGAAAATCCAATTTGCATTGTAATCCCTGTTGATTTGTGTTTGTTTTTATATATTTCGATGATAGATCGTATTTAAAAATTCATCATTTTCCGATTACTTTAACCAGAGACCATATAATAGATATCATATGGTCTCTGCTTTAACAATGAAAATACAAACGAAATAATAGCTCTATTATGAAACCTTAAAATTGCCGAAAATCGCCACAATTTGCTCAATCTGGACGTTGTGAATATGTTAGATACATTTTTATTAAAAACGAACTTAATTAAGTTATGAATGCATTATTTAAATAATGTGATAAACATAACTTTCATATTGATAAACAGTAGGATTAGACCTTTCAACTGGTGTATGACATGTAGTAACAAAGACGTTTTACTCAGTTGGATGAAAAGAGACTCTTCTTCATTTTTTGTTTGTAAATTGTTTGGTGCCCAATGACACACAATCACATGGGATCTCGTTGAGTGTGCTGACTCAAACAGAAAATCCAATCTACATTTAAATCCCGGTTGGTCTTTTTTGTTTTTGTATATTTCTTTGGTTTTATCGCACGTACGATAAGACGTAAGTAAATTAAGTCCGATTCACGTCTTCTCCGTATTTGATGGAACACACTGGTTCAAAGCGCTCTCGAGCGTTATGTAACCGAAATCGTTGGCCCCGATTAGTTCGAATCCCGTGGATATGCTCCGAATATGATCCATGGCCTGATGGCACCCTGTGCCGAGACGATACCTCGTTTTGAACGTCTGCTACCCGCGTCACTGTTGATTTACCCGCCGTTACCTGGCCGGCTTTGGTCTTACAACCAAAGTTTACTTCCTATCAGCTGATTAACGCCGTATCATATTAAAACGGATCAATAACCCAAGATAAATACGGCGGAAAAAACGAATTTCCCCAACCCACTTTGACGATGGGGGTTACACCACTTGGAATTCGGATCAAATTACATATTATTGCTGCAAATATAGATCTAGATATTATCTCTCCATAGAGAGACCACCTCCACCTCCTGGGCACCAGGTACCACCCCCATGGCCTGTCCCCCCACAGATAGGACAAAGCGCTCAACTAAACCCGTCCATGGACCCCGCCTCCATATGGTGGTCATCGCCACCATCACAACTACAAACAAGTGATTCAGCACAGGACATAATCCGCAAACTCCGTATGTGCCTCTCTGGAGTTATTTGAAAAGAGTGATGGAGTATATTTATTCTCCATATTGGTTTGATGTGCCATCAACTTTCTGTGTTATATTAACACACCTTACTTTCATGTATCCAAGGATTATATCATACCATCCTCAAGTGCCAAATTCCATGTGGATTATATTCATAATAATACCAAAACAAGATTGTACAATGCATATATGATGACTCTCCTCCGGACCAACCTGGCAGCTCAGCAAACCGTGCTTTTTCCTGCCTGTGCCACATTAGGCTATATTTTGCTTTGTTTTTATTATTCTGTGAATGATGTATACCCAGTGTGATATGAACTTTTCATTTTGGAACATACAAGGACTCCATCATACAAAAGACAATGATTTGTATGACAAACTGAAAAACTATGACTTTCTTGGTTTAACTGAGACTTGGGAGAACCAAAGTGATGTTTGCTTTCATGGATTTCATACCATTAGTGTATCTAGAAAACATAGTTTTGGAAACAGTAGTCGAGGTGGAATAGCCTTCCTCTGTAGAAACGACCTTAAACACCATGTAAATGTGATTTCATCTAGCCTTTTTTCTCTCTGGGTGAAAATAGATAGAACATTATGTTGCACCAAGAGAGATATTTATATAGGTACCATCTACATACCGCCAGAAGGGTCCTCATTTTGGACAAAATGCAATATTGATCCATTTGAGATCCTCCTTAAAGAAATAATCAAATTCTCTAATTTAGGTGAGATCATTTTGGGGGGGGACTTTAATGCCCGTACAGCGTGCGAGGATGAATGTATTGATAATACAAACATAGATCACCTGCCAGACCTACCCAGTGATATAGCCTCAGACATACAAACCCCAAGATGTAGTCTTGATGTTAAAAGCAATAATTATGGGAAATCGCTCCTTGATATAGCCACATGCTGTAAATTAATAATATTAAACGGGCGAACTATTGGTGACAGACTTGGCAACTTTACATGTCACACGTATAATGGTCATAGCGTTGTTGATTACGCGTTAGTCACAGAAGGAATCTACCAAAATATTTCATATTTCAACATAAAACCATTAACATGGCTATCAGATCACTGCCAGCTATCCCTTAAACTTTCAGTAACCACAGATCAACTCCCTAAAATGAACAAAAACATTAATAAGGCCACAAATGTAATCTTTACTAAATACAGGGGTAGAAGACGCTGGCATTCCAACAGCCACACATGTGTTAACGATGCTACCTCAAACTTCAATATTCAAACTGCCTTAAACAATTTTATGTTAACCTCCAGTCCAAAAGATGGTTCTGAATGTGAAGCGCTTGTTGATGCCTTCTTTGATATATTACAAACTGTCAACAAATTGTCAACAAAACCTTGCAAAAATAAATCAAATGTACCAAAAAACCAATGGTATGATGCTGAATGTAAAGCGGCAAAACGTAATATGGAACAAAAATATCAAGAGTTCAATAAAGAAAGCAATATATCAATTAAAAATAGGGCTCTTGTATCCAAAAAAGAATACAAGAAGTTACTCAGAAGAAAACAACGTATCTATAAACAAAATCACATTGAACAACTGGAAACCCTGTCAAAAAAGGAACCCAAAAAATTCTGGAAACTATTAAATAAACTTAGAACCTCATCCCAAAAGGAATCTGTTTATCCTGATCCTGAGGAGCTAACAAACCACTTCAGGAATATTTACAACACTAAAACAAAAATATCTTCTCTGGATCCTCTACAAAATTCTTCAAGACATGGAGATATACATATATGTGACGGTCTTAATAAACCAATAACAGCTAATGAAAT